GCTAAGATGCATAATACTTGAGGTAGTTTTGAAAAGCAGTGTGGTGGGAGTAATGGAGAGAACAGCAGTGTGCTGGGTCTGTGACCTGAGTCAAATAATCTGAGCCCCAATTTCCTCATTTGTGAACTAGAATGATACCACATACCTTCCAGGGTGGTGTTAAGAATCTTTTTAATATTTAATGAATGTAAAGTACCCAGGACAGTGCCTAAAACGTAGAACCAAACTCACTGCTGTGGAGTTGGATCTGACTCACAGCGACGCCTCCTTGGGTTTCCAAGGCAGTATCACTATCACTATGGAAGTAGATCCCCCAACCTTCCTTCCGAGGAGTAGCTGGTGGGTTTGAACCGCCAGCCTTCCAGTCAAATGCCTTAGGCATGACGACACCAGAGCTCCTTAGAACATAGTGGATACCCAGTAAATGGTAGCTGGTATTATTAGTTAATGCAAAGCACAGGAGTCAAACAATTTAACTACGTCAGAACCTCTTCCATTGATGTGGCTATTGAGAGGCTTTATACTTAATCCATTCATGTTTCCATGTCTTCACACTTGCTTGTGACATTACCTTCTACTTAGTGGCAAATTTTTATCTTTTAAGGGTGGATTTGATTTTTGTAAATGGGCAAAAAACAGAGTCAGACTTACTATGAATATATTTGGGGGCAGGGTGGGGTGGGGGCGCAACCTCAATTAAATGAGATGTGACTATCAGGTATTGATATTTATGCATCTATCTTGTAATTCCAAAAGAATGGTTCCCAATTTTTCTTTTTTTTTCAATGCATTTTATTGAAATATAATTTATGTACAGTGAAATACACAAAACTAAAGTGACATAAGTCAATGCTTTTTTTTTTTTTTGCAGAGTTCCCTCCCCTCCCCTCCCCTCCCACTCTTGGCAACCAACAAAGAAAGTTTCCCTCCATATATAAACCTTTCCTTGACCCTCCACAGCAACGAATTAATACTATATTTGTCCTTCTGTGATTGACTTATTTCACTTAGTATAATGTTGCTAAAGAGGCAAGGAGGCTGCATGTTCTGACCTCCTCTAACCCCATAAGAGGAAGACAAAGTCAATGTAAATAGGCCAAGGCCTATTCCTGGGAGGCCAGACATGCTGCCTCCCTCCAGCCCTTTCATCAACCCTGACACCAGCCATTCCTCCCACAGCACCCACCACCACCTTTCTGCTGGGTTCAATAATTCGCTGCAGTGGACACACAGAGCTCACAGATTATGGGGTTTGATAGGGAAGCACCAGGCTACAATTAAAGTTCAGAAACAACGCTCAGTCTCTCTCAGCCCGCTGTCTCTCAGCCAACTTTCTCTCACAGTCTCTCTCCCAGCAGTGCATGTCTGTTGGTGTCTCTCTCAGCAATGTGTGTCTCTTGCATCTCTTTCCCAGAAGTGTGTGTCTCTCAGGAGCACGTGTCTCTCAGGAGCATGTTTCTCTCAGGAGTGCGTTTCTCTTAGCAGCACATCCTCAGCCAGCAGTCAGAGACCTCTTCTGCCTCTAGGAGGCCTCATTTTGAGCCTGGCAGAGTGGCCAAACTAACCAATCATAACATCAGAATTCTAAGTACCTGAGAGAGAGCAAACTTCCTATAACATTGCTTTGTGCCACTTCCAACAGAAATACCCCAGGTGGATAACTTTTACAATCAGGAGCTCCTCAGCTATTCACAGCAAATTCCACCATGGACTTTACAAAGACTCATGGCTAGAAAAGCCATATCAAGTAATTTTCTACACCACAAATGTTCTCCAAGTTCATCCATATTATGCAGTGTTTTACAGACTCTTCATTATTCTTTAGTGCTAGATAGCATTAATTTCAGCAAATATGAATTTGTTGCTGTCATTTTTGTTATGTGCTTTTTCATAGTGTCGATTTCTTTGTTCCATAAAATTTTCTATGCTGAGCTCGTTTTGTTTATGAATAGTGTTATCACTTCCTTCGTTGCTATTGTTTTAGTATTTGCTAAATATTTGTGCTGGTCCTCTTTTTATTTTGATGGGAAGGTTTATCGTTTTTCTTTGAGGTTACCCTGTGATTTATAGTTTTCTTCCCAAGTTTAGAACAGTCCGTTATACATTGTAGTTGTCTTGACTTCCCTACCATCTAGAAGTTCTGTAACTACACAGGTTTTTTTTCCCTCCTTTTGGTTTGTAGTTGTCCTCATTTATCAAATGATGTCTCTGGTTCCCTGTTTACAATTTTGGAGGCTTATTTACTTTGGATACGTCCGTAGCTGGGTTGGTTTCTGGGTTATGTCATCATGTGTGTTAATGGTCAGTTGTTGTTTGCTGTTGTTGCTTCTCCAAAGGACTCCTTTAGCATCTCTTGTAAGGTTGGTCTAGTTTTAACAAATTCCCTTAACTTCCGCTTATCTGGAAATTTCCTGATTTCACCATCATATTTGAGGGACAGTTTTGCTGGGTATATATAATTCTTGGGGAGCTCTGGTAGCATAGTGCCTAAGGCACTTGACTGCTAACCAGAAGGCTGGCAGTTCAAACCCACCAGCCACTCCTCGGAAGGAAGGTTGGGCATTCCTACTTCCGTAGTTATACTTCCTCGGAAACCCAAGGAGGGGTCGCTATGAGTTGGGGTTGACTCGATGGCAAATAACAACAAAAACAACAATATAATTCTTGGTTGGAAATTTTTCTCTTTGGTTTTATATATACCATCCCTTTGTCGTCTTGCCTGCATGGTTTCTGTTGAGAAATTCGAGCTTAGTCTTATTGGTTGCCCCTTGTAGGTAACTTTTTGTTTTTGCCGTGCTGCTTTTAAGATTCTTCCTTTGTCTTTGGTTTTGGTAATTTTGATGATGATATGTCTTGGTGATTTTCTTTTGGGGTCTATCCTGTTTGGGGTTCATTGGACTTTCTGAATGGATATATTCTCATTATTCATCATAACAGGAAAATTCTCTTCCAACAAATCTTTGACAGTTTTCTCTGTGGTTTTATTTGTCTCTTCCGAATTCTGATTACATGTAGGTTATTCTTTCTGATGGTATCCCACATAAACCTTAGGCTTTCTTCATTTTGTTTTGATCTTTCTTCTGATCGATTCCTTTCCAAAGAAGTATTGAGGTATTGCCTTCAATTTCACTAATTCTGTCTTCCATTGTTTCAGTTCTACTCCTTTGCCCATTCAGTGTCTTATCTATTTCTGAAAATTTAGTATTAATCTTCTGGATTTCTGTCTGTAGATTTTGTGTCATTTCTAATTTTTCATTATTTTGTCATTTTTTTCTTGTCTTTCAGAATTGTTCTAGGGTTTTCTCTGTGTTTTCCTCAGTTTTGTCAGTGTTTTCCTTGATTTGCCTCTCATTTTGTTGAAGATACCTAAATAAAATTCTTTTGAATTCCTTCTCAAGGAGTTCCAATGCTTTGTCTTCTACAGGGATGTGCTTTGGGTCTGTATCCTGGTCCCTTGTTTCTCCTGCCTTATCTTGCTTCTTTGTGTGTACTGTGATGCTCTGTTGTCTCCAAGGCATTGTGACGTTTTTGTGTTTCTATTTAATTGGTTATTGTATGTTAGAGTGACTTGCTCATGATTTTAATTTTCTTTGTTTTGTTTGTATGTTATCTACGTAAGCAGGGTACCAGGCTGTGCTCCTCTATTCACTAGTTGACAGCACTTATACACTCACCACCTATGTCTTTTCTTGTTGTCAGCCTCTTGTATGTCCCTGCCATCCTTGGAAAACAGAGCCTATTCTTAGGTCCTGTTTTCATTCAGGTTTTTCCAATAGTTGGTGCCTCATCCACTTCAGTGTACTTTCTTTCAAAGCTCAGGGCTCCAGGATTATCTTCTGTATCTCTGTCAATTGGTTTCTCTTTTCTTTGTTGAGGAGGGTCTTTGTGGCTTGTCTTACTGGAAGTCCCCCCAATTTTTCTTGAGTGATAAGAGTATCAGTGGAGAATATATAACTTCCCAAGGTGAACATTAGTTAGCCTCCTACTACATATATTTTGAATCAGTCATTTTAGTCTGTACAGCTAAGTGCCAAAGCCTCTGTATGCTGGGGGAAAGCAAAGAAGGAGAGAACCGGAATAGAGTGGACTGGTTTGGGAAAGGCTTGAAAAGATGAGACTTTAGTTGAACCCTGAAGGATAAGTACAATATGGTAATAAAGGTGAGGGGATGACATTTCAGAATATTGTGGGGGAAGTCACAAGAGCAAAACACATGTAATTCAGTTTATTGAGCAAACATTGATTACCTGTCATGTGCCCTACATTTGGTTGCATTTGGGAACACGAATGATACTGCTCTGACTTTAAGGAGTACACAGAATATTGGGGGAGAAGCACATTATAAGGAATAATTATAATAGAGTTGGGGAGATATGCATAGGCCAATAGGGGTACCTAATAGCCTATGAATTAAGGAAGGCAGAGGAGGAGGAGGAGGTACTGACTGAGGTGGTAGGTTACTGTGTGAGAAATGGGAAGGAGGGCAATTGGGTGAACGTGACTAGGGTGGAAACTCAGGATTTGAGCCTTTATGATGAAGGAAATGCAAATCCTGTGGGAAAAGTTTGAGCAAGTACTTTAGGGAGATTAGTGAGTTGGTGATGTGCAGAATGGAGGGGTAAGAGGTTGAAAACAGGGTAAACATTTGGGAGGCTTTTGCAGAAGACCAGACTAAGTATGAGAAAGACCTGAACTAGAATTGTGGAGGAAGGAATGCAAAAGCAGGGAAAAAATGATCAAGAATTGGTAGGGTTCTTGACTGTGGGGAATGGAAAATAGTGATACATTTATTCTGAACCTAGGCATCTGGAACAGTAGTGATCCTGTGCAAGGAACAGAGATGAAGGGGAGATTGAATGTGATATTTCATGCCACCCAGAAGCCCACAGAACCTGGTTCTTGGGTGAAGCACCAAGGCACTCTTTTACCCATGTCTCTCAAATCCCTCTACCCCTTGCTGTGTCTATATCCAAGCCTAACTGCTTTGGTTTTGATTGCAGCTCCTCCACCCCCACCACCCATGATTCGAAATGGTGCCAGAGATGCTCCCCCTCCCCCACCACCATACAGAATGCATGGGTCAGAATCCCTGAGCCGAGGAAAGCCCCCACCTCCGCCCTCAAGGACACCAGCTGGGCCACCTCCTCCTCCACCACCACCCCTGAGAAATGGCCACAGAGATTCTATTACCACTGTTCGATCTTTCTTGGGTAAGTAGCTAGATGTTTAAGTCACTTGGTTCTTGTCCTGACTTCACTAATCCATTGGTCTGGAGTTTTTGCTTTGCAAATATGTCCTTAATGTAGAAACTTTTAGAATGTGATTGAACCACACTCAGAAATTCTGAGCTTTCTTTTAGAGGGATATAGAAAGTGGGGTGAGGGCCATGAGGTGGCTATGGCAACTGTGTCACACAGCCAAACAAGGATAACCTGCGTCAAAAGGGAATTATCTACTCAGATCTCTCACTAGTGAGAGATAAGTATTCCTATTTTAGGTTAATTTCTACCAATTTGTGGATTCAGATCAGTTGGCTTCCCATGATGATGGACTGTAAGAGGACCATGTTATTAAAACACAGGACTGTATGTCTTTCTGCTCCTTTGCAAATAGCTGGGTTTCTTTCCTATTTTTTTTTTTTTTTTAAATTGTGATTTGGGTGAAGAGTTACAGAGCAAATTCACTTTCCATACAGCAGTTCACATATACTTTGTCTCATGTCGTTGACCACAGTTTACCACAATGCAACAGCTTCCCTCCCACTTCCTCCCCATAGTTACCTCTTCCCTCCGTACACTCCTGCCCTCTGAGCTGTCTCCCTGTGCATAAGCAGCCCTTCTTTCTCCCATGATTGTTCCCTCCAAAGAGTGTATCTACTTGAGGTAAATGTTCAACTCGTATGCCTGTATTTTGTTCGGCTGGAAACCACAGGTGTGGGTTCAATTTCAGACCTGAAGGGCAGCTAGGGGCCATAGTCTCAGTGGTTCCACCAGGCTCTATCAGACCAGCAAACCTGGTCCCCAACTATTTTTTTTCTCCAAATGATTTTGAGTTTTGTTCCACTTTTTTCCTATTTTGTGCCCAAATTTTGGTGTAAAGGTTTAAAGCAAGGCTTAGAACCAGTTCTTCTTGGTTCAGTCATAGCTGATGAAGTAAAACCAGCATGGACCCATATTTATAAAACGTGGATGAATTGGAACAGTAACTGGAATGGGAAAAATATGGATCAGTGCCTTGCTAGAAACTTAATCTCCCTCCTAGAAAACAAGGGCAATGTGCATGTTGCATAGCAATCAAATTCTGGAACAGCAGAGTCAGAAACAGTGGTGCCCAGCTCAAAGATGGTGGCTGACTTCCTTGCTTTCAATGTGTTTTGCTTTCTACACCTGGCAATGATCCAATCTCCACATCAGGCTCCTGAGAGGGTTCATCATGCCTCTTCTGAGTCTCCCATTCCAAGGCTTTGATTGTAATTTTCCTCTTCCGGTTACTGTTCTGCTTCACCCCCAGATTTTTAAAATTTGATTTTGCTTTGTTGGCCATGAACCTGTTAAGAACCTTGGATTTAAAAATCAGACCAAAGATTCATTCCTTAATTTGAAGAGCCTTTGAGCATATGCCACACAGAAGGTGATACTGTTCCTGTTCTTAGGAACCATGGTTTACTAGGTGAGGCAGGCCTGGCAGTACCTCAGAATGCAGAGACTGGTAAGGGGAGAATCATAGTGATCGAGGTCTGTGGGAGTACAGGGAAGGGTGAGATGAATATTCTGTTCTTTTTCAGATGATTTTGAGTCCAAGTATTCCTTTCATCCAGTAGAAGACTTTCCTGCTCCAGAAGAATATAAACATTTTGAGAGAATATATCCCAGCAAAACAAACCGAGGTGAGAAGAGTGGTAATGGATGTGCTTTCCTAACTGCACAGAATGTGAAATGTGTACATTTTCTCAGGTGAAAATTTGCTTCTCCTTACTTTCATTTTATTAAAACAAAACCCAATCCCTAGATTTAAAGACTAGCTTAAAGGGTCTGTCTCGCATTTCAGGCATTTCAGTATTCAGGGTCTGGTCATTGACCTTTGTGTATGTGTTGGATTTTTTTTTTTTCCCCCCAGCTGCCCGTGGAGCACCACCTCTGCCACCCATTCTCAGGTGAAGCCTGGCTTGGTCCTGTTCTTCAGGAAAAGGATGGACCTTCTCCTCTTCTCAGATGGTCCCTTCCATTCCCCTGAAACCTGCATGAGAGCTCCTGACGTGTTTCTCCAGTGCAACCAACCCCTAGACTCCAAGCGTCCTTCCAGCTCACCTCCATCTATGCATCTCGTCTCTGGACTTGGTGACCGGACTCTTTATCTTGGCAGGAGGGTCTGAGACCCTGCGTTCATTCTTCCTCTTAACAGCCCTGCTAGCCACATGAGGAAGAAGCTTTCATGTCTCCTGTTTCCTCTTGGGGAAAGGTGCCTTGTTGTGATGAGTTAGCTTATTGTTGGGGCAGGGTAGAGAGTGGTACTCCTACCTCCCCCTATGGGGAAGCTTGGCAGGTATCTTGTGTTTCATCATTTAGGAGGCTGGCATGGCCAGGACTTCTAGGGGGTGGGGTAGACATTTTCAGTGAAACAGGAAAGGAGTTTGCAGACAGCATGATCTGTTTTAAAGGTCAGGTTTGGAGAAAGGGCAAGGAAACGGGACTGCTTTATTTCTAGGGATATTTTTTATTTTGTTCCCTCCCCCTGCCAGGGATAAGTTGAACATAAACACTAAATACTAATCAATTGAACTAAACATCTAATAAAAAGACAGGATGAAATAAACTGGGGATTCTTTTAGAGCTAGTCAATTCCTCTGCAGCAAAGGGACCAGGAGCCACTTGAATCCTCTGGGACTCCCTGCCCTGTTTCCTCAGGGTACTAAGACTGAGGGGTGTATTTCCTCCCCTACCCCTAATCCCCTCAAGAGAAAAGTTGCTTTTTTTGTGTGTATGTATGGGAGAGAACATCATTTATTCCTGATTCAGAAACCCCAAAAACCTCTGGTGGGAGATAAGAAGATAAGGCCTAGGTATTGACCTTGACTTAACCTTGACCCCACCTCATCTTTTCTTACTGGTTCTGTAGGCCAATGGCCCTTTCAATCCTTTCCAGAAAACTTCAGCCCGTGGTGGGTGCTCCAACATGACAAAGAAGTACCTCATGGAAGGGACTGGCTCTGTGGGGCTACAAAAGACTTTAAGACCGGCTTGTTCTGAAGTTCACAGCCCATCTGACTGAGCAGGCTCTTTCTGTTCCTTCCTCTACCACCCTCACCTTCCTAAGACTGCAGGGGTCAACACCCAGCAGAGTAGACAAAGATAAGGCAGTGAGTAGAAGCTTGTGAGGGTGGTCAGGGCTCCCTCCATGCCGAGAAGCACAGAGACTTTGGTGAGTTGGGCCTCAATCTCATAGATCTTCCTTGGCAGCCAGCAAGTTGTGATTCTTCATTTTGCAGGCCCTAGTTAAAGAGCACAGAGGAAACAGGTTTCCAGTCTAGGGAGGAACTGACCTTGGGCAATGAGAAAGGGACATCTCTTTTCCAACAGCAGGAGTGGGACTCCTGAGTTCCACACAGCAGATGGGTTGGTTTGCCAGGTGCAGAGGCTGTTTATAACTTGATGTAAGAGCAGGGAGGCCGTGGCTATTCTTCAAATGGATAGGGAAAGTTAAAAATTTTCACCAGCCGCATCACAGGTTTAACTTCTTAGTGACCTTCCTAGTCTTTTGGATCACAGGCTAAAGATCTGTGCATGGTGCCAGGTGTAACCCACGTCTTCCCAGTGCTGGGTGAGGCAGAGCTCAGGATGGGTTAGTTGTCTGGGGTCTGCTCTCCTTCTCTATGCCATGGACCACAGAGAGTCTTGGGACAAACCATGAATATGAGTCACCAGACTATTTCTAGTTCTTTTTATTTATCATTGTTATTTTCAAATCTATTAGCAGTTATCTCTCAGAAGGGTCCCCAGCATTCTGAAGTGACTGGAGCTGAAAGGGGGACGTTAGTAGAGGGAAAAGGAGAGAGTACAAGAGTGATACTGCATCCAGGCTCCAGGGTATATGCTGACAAGTTACTGAACTTTGACTGTGAAGAAGTCTTCCCATTTATTTTTGAAATGGGAATAGATGCCTTTTGTACAATGTTATCAAAGTTTTTTTTTTTTTTTTTTTTTCTGTACTGAAACTTAGAACATCAAAATAAGTATCACAAGTAAAAGCCAAACCCCAGCTTTTCACTGGGGCTGATACTGTCCTCTCTCTCCCCTGACCTACTGCCCCTCATATTCCTCAGCATTTGGTCTGTGTGTCATGGGTATTGATTGTATTTGTGTTGTCTTGGCCTCATGATAAAAGGCCTGGGCCTAGATTTAGTCAAAAGTCTTTTCCAGAGCATGGTAATGGCACAGTACCTATTTAAATATTTTTGCCTTATACACTATTTGGTCTCACTGTTAATAACAGATTTATTATCATGTATATTTACTATTGAAGAATGGGAATATGATCCTCATAGTTACTGATCTATTTTGTATGTTGTAAAAAGCTTGTAATACAGGTTTAAGGTGGGCTGGTTGCAAGAGCACTAAACTTCTCACCTTTTAAACTGCTCTTTTTATCTGCTTGTGGGACTGTTGTCTCTTCAGTGCGAGATTGGGTGGTCTCATGTTGAGGCTGTCGCCCAGTCCGGTTAACTCCCTTGTCCCCTCCCAGAGGAAGAGACATTGCTGAACTAAGCATCAGGAAGCTGTGTGAAAGCCCTTGTGTGGGTTTGGTTTTGTGATGTTTTTTCCTAGTAGGAAAAACTTAATAGTTGTTTCTTACTGCTCTGTCTGGTAAGCAGGGTAGTGGCCTCCAGGTTTTTAAATAAGCTGAATGCCCCTCTCCCTGGTCACCAAACCTGGACCAAGGTATTTTGATAATCCAGATATGGTTTTCTGTAGTGTGGGATTTACTCTGGCTACTGTGCAAAGCCCCAGCACTTCCACAGCCTGAGCCCACAGAGAGAGAATGCCTAGTGCTACTCCATCTGATGGAGTAAGGCTGCCTGTCTCCAGGAATCCATCCCAGCCCTCCCAGTTGGCAAAGACAAGGAGTCTAGTCACTGGCCATTGCACTGAGGGAGTCTCCTCACCCTATGGCCTCCCAACTTGAAACTCAGATTTACCTCCAGGGAGAGGTGAGAAAAAAAATGTAAATAGACTTGCTACAGAGCAACTCAGGGTTGGGATGTGTTTTCATTCTCCTGGTCACTTGAAACTGTCTGTAGACCAAGTGCTTATGAGGCCCAGGGAGAGTATGGCTCCAGGGTTCTTCCCTTCTGTAGAGCTCTAGGGCTGGAGTGTAGGACATCTGAGGCCTTTTAATGGCACTACATTGAGTTGTGTCCTTCTGGAAGCCTGACCTGCGATCAACTGCAAATCAAGTTCATCACATTCCAGTCGAAGTCTTTCTTTCCCTATTGAATCTCAATCCCTGGTTGTGTGGTCACACCGGCTTTCTGCCAGCCACCCTTTAGGGAATGGGAGGGGACAGAGGAGGGCCATTACTACTCTGCCTTCACAACTCATCTCTTAAAACAAAATGAAACAAAACTAAAATCACCTTCAAAAACACATGCTTTAAAAAAAAAAAATAGCTGTTTAAGTGAAGGCAGAGTTTGGTTCCATTCAACTCCACATTCATTGTGCCTTTACTTGTGTTCGATTTTTGTGCTTTCCTTTTCCTCTTTGAAACGATTAAACTCTTCCTTGGTAACTGCTATTTCCTTCTTTATGCTCCTGTTTCTGAAAACCTAGTGAATTCCCTCTCTCACTGTCTTAAATTTCATTCCACGGTGGCAGAGGGGCCTAGCCTTTTTTTCTTACTTCTTTCTTGTCCTTTCCCAGGGTGACCAACATGGACATCACAATCAACACTGAATAAAAGACTAGATGTGTGTGTGTGTCTGTGTGTCTGTGTGTCTGTGTCTGCACATGGATCAATTAAAAAACAATTTATTGTATGATTTATTTTGGAGTTATATTCTGATTACAGTATTCTTCCCAAATAGCATTGATCCCCCACCTCCCGAGATGTATCATCCGGTCTCAAGTTGGATTCTTTGGTACATTTCTTTCTTCTGAATGCCGTGCAGTTTAATTAAACCCTACTTTAAACAAAACCAGACCAAAAACTCTGTACTCTTGTGTGGAATGCTGCCTCGAGTGATAGCTTAGAGAGGAGATAAAATCTGTCGCCTCCTAGTCCAGGTCAGTATAGCAGCTTGGCATCAGACTCCTACGAAAGTAGATGTACTAATTGGGCAGAGACACCTGAGGTTCCCAAGTATTTTTCTCTCCTCACATTTTGCTCTGTTTTGAAAACCACAATTCTAATTAACCAGGCTTGACCAGGTGATTCTGATAAGATTTGAACATTATTTTTTATTTGCCACTGAAGTCCCCTTTGCCCTTGATTTTTGGTACCCAGGAGACCTGTGTCTTCTCCTGATAGCCCATTTTTATGATTCTTCTACCGATGTTGCTTGACATGGTCTCAAATTGAGGAATGGAAGAAACAGTAAGGGCAGAGCATGGAGACTGTGTGTGTGTGTTTTTATGTGAGTGTTAGCTGTTTTTCTTCACTGCTTTTTAGTTGAAACCTTAGTTTGTTTTCTCGAACTTTGACTTTAGGTGTCAGAATTCGACCAAACATTCTCTGCTTACTGTGGTCACTGAGTTGAACATTGAGCTCAGTGTGTGCTTTCATCGCTAGCAAAGGTCTTAAAATTATTTCCCATACTGATTCATAATGGGTGTGTGTGTGAATCACTCAAATAATTTAGATACAAAAACCTTTGAGGATTGGGAGGGAGGGGAAGAAAGGCCTCTTTTCATTTTCATCCATACTTACCAGTTTGGCTGAATTCCTGATTATTTGATCCATCATTGTTATTAATATGATTAATAAACTACCTATTTATTGATTTAATTGTTCTTCCTGTGACTTTAAATGGCCTTTACATGGAGCATAATGACCCTCAACTTCCTAACCCTCCAAGCTTTACTGAGATGGTATTAATCTCTCTTTGTGTGTGTGTGGACATCCACACATTCACACTTAAGGATGCCAGACAAGTCCTTCCAGTATGATTTGATTCCTCTTCCATGACACTATGAGTTAGCCGGTGATAAAAAAAAAAAAAACTCACCACCATGGAAGTAGATTGCCCAACCTTCCTTCCAAAGAGTGGCTACTGGATTTGAACCGCCAGCCTTCTGGTTAGCAGTGAAATGCCTTAGGCACTATGCCACCAGAGCTCCCTAGCAGGTGATAAAGACATTCATTTATTCAGTCTATTATTCTGCTTATGGTGAACTGTCTTAAGTATTTCCTGCCCAAAATCAGCCACAAACCGCAACTCATTGTAAGGAAGCTGTCTGCCTTTGACTTCCTAGTGCTCTGTAAAATAAGTAAGAGACTTGAAATGTCCCAGGGTCCTAACCACCTGAGAGGACACCTACAGGAAAATGTTTCACTTCTGGAACCCAATCTAGTGTACAATATATAATATATATAATATAATCCAGTTTTGTATATAGTTCGTTCTTCACTTGGGTTTAGGAGTATGTGCATGTGAGATTTAAAAGATTATGTGCTATCCAACTACAGAACGTGTTCACGCAAAGGGTAGATGTCCACTTGGCAGGAATGTCATTCCTTCATTCAGCAAACACTAACTGCACACTTACTCTGTGCCAGGCATCCACAATATGAAGATGAGTAGAGCATGCGTCTGCCTCTGCCTCCAAAGAGGTCCTAGTCTAGGAGAACTTTAGGACAGCTACCTAGGGAAACCTATGCAAGGTATTAAGGGGTCTTAGGGGAGTTAGGGGAGGAAGATGGTGAGTGGCATTCCAGACAGGGAACCACATGGACAAAGGCACAGAAGTGAGGAACTGTGGTGGTGTGTGCATGATGTCACTGGAGTATTAGCTTCAAGTAGGTAACGTAGGGCCCTCTCAGCCCTGATGTTCTGTAATTCCCCCTTCTCCTACGGTGGTTGTTACTGTTGTAGACTTTTGACAGTATTGCATTTTCTGGTGTGTGTTTTCATAGGCTTCAATATGCATATCAAGTGCTCAAAGGCTCCTTTGCTCCCAGTGTAATGGGGCAGCTTGTATTCCACCACCATCTCTTAGAGCTGCTGGCCACACCTTATCATTTCAGATTATTAAGGACAGTATTTTCAGGTGTCTGGGTTATAAAAATAAGTAGAAACAGTGAAAGTTGCTTCCTGGGTTCTACTGTCCTATGAAGGAGACCAGAAATGCCCACGAGTCTAAAGCCACTACTATATGTAAGCTCTTGTCCATTCAAGGCAGCCTAATCTCTTTCTTGTAGTTTCGAGCTGTTAGAAAGCCTTCCCTTCACCATCTCTTTCTAATTAGAAGGCCATCTGAGAACTCACATCTGTCTGATCTTCCTGTTGTGGGTAAGTGGTCAAGAGTTTGATCTCAGTTTAAATTCAGCTCTTCCACTTAATTAGTTGTGTGACTTTGGGCTAGTTTGCTCAACCCCCTCTACTTTGGTGTCCTCATTTGTAAAATGGAAGTAATACTGACTTCATGGGGTGCTTGTGAGGATTAACAATGTTTTATAGGTAAAATACTGAGTCCAGTCCCTGGCATCCAGTTAAGGTGCTCAGTGTTGGCTCTTATCTCCTATATGACCTAAATACAATTAACTGCCGGTTATAATAGCTGCCTTTCTGTTTTTATGGCTCTATTTCATTTGATATTGAGGGATTAAAAATGTTTATCATCACCTAGTATTAGGTTTTGCCCTTTAAAGGAACCTGAGGCTCACATGGGGTATTAGCATCGGAAGCTGGCCTGTAAATTACTGCTCTAATTTATATTTTTCATTAAAAGCTCAGCTTGCCTGTTCTCTATAGCTGTCTTTCCTGGCCCTGAAACTCTATAATGTTTAGCTATTAAAAAAATTTTTTTTTAAATTAAAAGATCATAATTCTCTCCATTCCCTACAATGTGTGAATTAATGGAACTAATGATAAGAAGGTGCACAGAATATAATAGTTCTTACCTTGAACAAAAAAAAAAAAAGGTCTGGTCCTGTTTCTCACCTTTGAAATACAAATCAGCTAGTGTTGTGAAGTGTAATTTAAGTATGTGCAGACCTTTACAAAGAAAACATTGGTTTGAGTGGCAAGGAATCCGGGGTCGGAGGCCAGGACCAAGGTGGTGCGACCTGTATCACTCTAGGCACATTTGTTACGTACCTTGCCGGGTGGAGGACGAGGGTGATAACTGAAACGCCCGGCATCGTGCCTTTCACACAGAACCTCGATAAATGATAGGCATTATGTAGTGGCGCTTTGAAAATCTAACCCATCAGGATAATTTAAATGGTATTTAGACCGACAGAAAGGTCCGCATCTTTATACAACGCGTGGAAAGAAGAGCGCAGAAATTCAGAGTTGCTTGGGGCAAAAAGACTACACCTCCCAGTGAGCTGTGCGGCGTTGCGGTTCCGCCTGAACCAGAACCGCCCCCGCCGCAACCTCTCGACTTTCCGCATAGGCCCCCGGATGTAGGTGCCGACCCCCCCCACTCAGTGGGCGTGGCCTCACGCTGGCGCTGTGATCTGGTTTTCTCTTACTGGCTCTGGCCCTTCCGGTTGCCTGGGCGGGGAAAAGGGAGTAGTGGCAGAGGCGCGCGGCGCTCCAGCAACGGCCAATCAGAAGCCTGGTTGAGCTTTGGCGGGAGGTGAGAATGCTACAGTCCTGCGGATTTGGCGCGAGTGCGGTGGTGCTGTGCTGCTGCTGAAGTCTGTGCTGGAGCTTGTGGAGAATCTTTATAGTTGTGTGTGTGAGACGTGAGAACACGCCTGCACGGAGTTGACTAAGTCCCGCGAGGTGAGAAGGAGAGGACTGCGGAAGAGAAAGGTGCTCAGAGAGGCTTAACCAAAAACAAAATCAAACTCACTGCCGTGGAGTCGTTTCCGACTCATAGCGACCCCACCTTGGGTTTCTGAGGCAGTATCTCTACGGAAGTAGATTGCCTGGTCTTCCTTCCGAGGAGTGGCTGGTAGGTTTGAACCGCCAGCCTTCTGGTTAGTAGTCAAATGCTTTAGGGGCTACGCCGCCAGAGCTCCTCAGGAAGACCTGGGGTCTTGGAAAAAGCGGAGTTCGGTGAGGGCCGGGTTCGATGAGGCCTGAGTGAGAGCAGATATCAGAGGAGGTCCGAGGTTGGGATCCGAGAGGGAGAATGTGCACGCTCAGAGGAGTTCTGGCAGCTGTGCCCATGTAAAGAGCTGAATGCTGTAGGTAGGAGATGTTCCGGAGTGAGGGTTGAGTATGGAGTGAGGACTGAGTTCAGAGACGAAGGGATGAACTGGAGGAAACCAAGCTGCAGAGAGAGGGCTTGGGGGAGTCTGAAAGTGCAAGGTTTATGAGCTAAGTTGATCAAGATATCCCCCTGCCTGGAGTGAGGGATTTTGACATACTATAGAAATCAGTTAAGATGAAGTTTTTGTTGCATAAGAAGCAGTATCACTCAAGTGGTTGTAAGAACTTGGACTCTGGAGCCTGAATGGCTGGTGTTATAGCCCTGATTTGCTACTTTTAGTTATGTGACTTTGCAAGTTTCCTCATCTATGATAGGGATTATAATGGTACCTATCTCTAGGGTAGCTGTAAAATTTAAATGAGTTAATGTATGTAAAGTGCTTATAACAGCCTCTTACACGGAGTTGTTATGTGTGTTATGTGCCGTTGAGTCGGATCTGACTCATAGCGACCCCTCCCTAAATTTCCGAGGCGATATCACTATGGGAGTAGATTGCCCAACCTTCCTTTGGAGGAGTGGCTGGTCGGTTTGAACCACCAGCCATCTGATTAGCAGTCAAGTGCCTTAGGGGCTACGCCACCAGAGCTCCTTTACACGTAGTAGGTAGACATTAAGTGTTGAATTTTATTGTGTCCATTTGGATGTGAAGCAGAACTGAATGCTAAAATATTGTTATGACAGGATTTACTCATGCAAAGGATGTTGGTCATAAGTGCCAGTGAACAACAGTATATAGAAATTGCATGTTAGTTCTTTTCACTTAGTTTTTACATATTGACTGATTGTCCTGTTGTTTTTTTTTTTTCCCTCACACTTAGCTGTTTTGCCATTATGCCTCAAACCCGGTCCCAGTCACAGACTACAATCAATTTTCAAAAAAAGAAACTGTCTCGGACATTGAACAAAGCTAAAAACTGTGGTGACACCAAACTAGAACCAACGAATGTTAAGGTTATACCCTGTTCTCCTTGTGAAAAAATTCTTCCTCTCAGCCCTAGAAAACGTCTAGGTAAGCTATCTGTTTTATAGGTATAACTTTTGGACCAGTAGCTCTCAACTTCTCCTTAGTACTATACTTAGTTCAGATAATGTTTTAAATGACATTGCAGTTATATAGTATTTTCAAATGTGCCTCAATATATGTGACATTAATAGAAACAAGTAGGTGGCATCCTTGATCTTTTCAGTGCTTTTCTTCTTTTAGAGCAGTGGTTGGCAATGCTTTGTTTTAGAGCACCTGTATTTAATGAGGAGGGTGGCAATATCTAGAGACATGTTGATTATCACAACTGAGCAAGTGATCCTGGTATAGTGGGTAGAAGCCAGGAATTCTGCTAAACACCTTACAATGCTCAGGAAAGCTCCTCACAACAAAGAATTATCCCTTCTAAAATGTCTTTGGTGCAGAGGTTGAGGAATTTTGTGTTCGAGTAATCTTAGAATTTCTTCCTACTGAAACCCATTTGGTTTCTTCCAAAGAGCTCTCTGGTGGTGTAGTGGTTAAAGCATTCAGCTGTTAACCAAAAGGTCAGTAGTTTGAACCCACCAGCCATGGGAGAAAGACGAGACTGTCTGCTTCCATAAAGATTTACAGCCTTGCAAACCCTGTGAGGCAGTTCTGCTCTGCATTCAGGGTCGCTGGACAGTGGGGTTTGAGTTTTAAAGCTTCGTAAATGTCAGTGGTGCCATCTGGTGGCCAATATTTACTTCTAAGGATAAGACGTTCTCTTTTGATGTTTCTCTGACCCAGGTAGAAGAAATTTACTTCTTTCTGGGAGAGCCAAGTCTTTGCAAATCCTTTTACTATCCACTGCTATGAATGATCACGTTTTGACTTTAATGTATTTCAGGTGATGATAACCTGTGCAACACTCCCCATTTACCTTCCTGTTCTCCACCAAAGCAAGGCAAGAAAGAGAATGGTCCCCCTAGCTCACGTCTGCATAAGGGGCGCAAACTGGTATTTGACAATCAGCTGACAATGACATCTAGCAAAAGAGAACAAGACAGCATTCACCAAAACAAAATACTTTTGTCAGTTCAAAAAGGTCAAGAGATTACAACAAATTCTGGGCAGAGATGTCCACTGGAGAAAGAATCTGCATGTATAAGACTGTTTAAGCAAGAAGGTGCGTTCTTATATGGCAGCTGTTAGCACTTTCTATTCTTTGCGTGTGTGTGTGTGATTCAGGTGAAAGTTTACAGACCAAATTCACTTTCCATACAGCAGTTCACACACACGTTGTCTCATGACATTGACTACAATTTACCCCAATGCAACAGCTCCCCTCCTACTTCCTCCCAATAGTTACCTCTTCCCTGTGTCTATCCCTCCATTCATTCCTGCCCCCTGAGCTGTCTCCCTGTGCATAAATAGCCCTTTTTTCTCCCATGATTGTTCTCTCTAAGGAGTGTATCTACCTCAGGTAAATGTTCAACTCATATGCCTGTCTTTTGTTTGGCTGGAAGCCACAGGTGTGGGTTCAGTTCCAGACCTGAAGGGCAGCTAGGGACCATAGTCTCAGTGGTTCCACCAGGCTCTATCGGACCAGCAAACCTGGTCCCCACCTTTGTTTT